GAAAGGACTCGCTCGTTCGTTTGATTACTGGCCGGAAATCGATGCGGATTTCGAAAGAACAGTGAAATCATGCTCTGAGTGTGCTCGCCAAGCGCAGCGAACATTACTGGCAGTAGCCCAAAGGCCCCTGGGAAAGGATACACGTTGATGATGCAACGAATGGCCAAGCCGAACGGTACGTTCAGACGACGAAGGATGCAATGGGAACCACAGTGTCGACGTTGCATTCAAACCTGAATGATTTCTTGCAGCAGTATCGCTTAGCTCCACATGCAACCACCGGAGAATCGCTGTCCAAATTGTTCCTTGGACGGAACCTCAGAACACGTTTAGATCTCCTCAAGCCTGAAAAAGTTCACCTGCGAGTCACTACAAAGCAACAAGCCTATTTTGACCGATATTTTCGTGAATTCAGCTCGGGACAACAGATCTATTTCCTCTCCGGTAATTCCCGTATGGACAAGTGGATTCCTGGTGTAATTGCAGCTCGACTTGGAGATCTCCGCTACGAAATCGACTACGTTGGAAAACGGTGCAAGCGTCACGTCGATCAAATTCGTTCGAGGCTCGGTACGAACGATCACCGAACGGTCGAAGCATCCGAAGCGGACGAGTCAAGTCAGTCGGCCGTACCATGACGTGTAACTGAGTAGTTCTACGACAACGGTGTGACAGTTCCTAGAGTACCACCAACTCCCGTGAACCCTAGAGAGTTTCCTGCTGAACCAGCTTCTCCAGAGTTCCATACGCCATCTGGTAGCCCGGTTCTTCAGAATGCGAATTCCTCTCCATTTTTCGTGCGTCGTTCAACAAGAGAACGCCACCCTCCCCGCAAGTACTCTCCGTAGACGATTCATTCCAAAATGAGGGAAGAAATGTTGTGTATGTAAAATTATTTAGGCTCGATAAAAATACTTTCTGGAATCACTGGCGTTCAGGTAAAACAAAAAGATACTATCATAGAGGTAACTCTAAGACCACTGGGTCCCGAAGAAAATCATTATTATTTTTGGCTCACTCAGTACCAGAACAACGGTCCCAAGCAGTCCCAAGCTATTTCACTCACCCCTGTATGTTCTGCATGAATCCACACACCCCTGATGTTATCTGTCAAACTTTCATAGCGAATCAAAACAAACATAGTGTAGTAATAGAATTTCAACTAGAATGGGGTACGCCATAGAAGTACTTGGGACCAATAGGCTACTCAAGCAGTGAATCAATTTAAAATCGTTAGTTTCGTAATGATTGTTGATACTATCGCTTTTTCGTCGCTAATTGTTTTATTCGCTTTAAACGGCTCGATTATGATAACCGGACAATATAAGTTTTAAAAAGTATTCGTGGTTGTCTTCTCTATTTCCGAGATCCCAAAATACGCTACAATCTTTAATACAAGATTTTGCAGGAATTTTAAAAAGTATTTTTGAATTTTTTTTAATAAATATTGATGGCGGTCATTATTTATACATTTACACAAAAAAAATTTAACCGTGTATATTTTTCCAGCGGCGGATGTAAGATTCGCTTACAATTATGTGAGATTCATCGTCAGAGGATGTAAGTGGAGACCGCATGAACCGAGGATGCGATATACCGAGCTGCGGTCCAATGCAAGAAAATGGAGAAAGAAAAATGTGGAGTGTATTAGCAACAATCAATACGAAACTATCGATTTTAAATTGCCTCACTACTTGACTAGCCTATTGGTCCCAAGCAAATCGATTAACATACCCCATTCTAGTCGAAATTCTAGTACTACACAATGTTTGTTTTGATTTGCTCTAAGAGGAAGAGGTGACAATTGGCTTCTTCCTCTTTTATTTCTATCTCTATCTCTATATTTATCTATCTCTATCTCTATCTTACGCACATGAAATCGGCCAATCAGGAGCTGGTTCACGTTTGACAGAAAAGTGGTTCATTTTCGCCCCCCTATTGTCACCTCTTCTCTTAGGATTTGCTATGAAAGTTTGACAGATAAAATGAGGGGTTAGTGGATTTTCCTATGTTTCGAGGGGTGAATCGATTAGCTTGGGACCGAAGATAGTACCAGAGCTGAGCCAAAAAGTTGAGCACTTTTCTTCGGGACCTACTAGTCTTAGAGTTACCTCTATGGTAATAGCAACAATCAATACGAAACTAACGATTTTAAATTGGCTCACTACTTGACTAGCCTATTGGTCCCAAGCAAACGATTAACGTACCCCATTCTAGTCGAAATTCTAGTACTGCGCAATGTTTGTTTTGATTCGCTATGAAAGTTTGACAGATAAAATGAGGGGTTATTGGTTTTTCCTATGTTTCGAGGGGTGATTCGATTAGCTTGGGACCGAAGATAGTACCAGAGCTGAGCCAAAAAGTTGAGCACGTTATTTCGGGACCTTCTAGTCTTAGAGTTACCTCTATGGTAATAGCAACAATCAATACGAAACTAACGATTTTAAATTGGCTCACCACTTTAGTAGCCTATTGGTCCCAAGCAAACGATTAACGTACCCTATTCTAGTTGAAATTCTATTACTACACTATTTTTGTTTTGATTCGCTATGAAAGTTTGACAGATAACATCAGGGGTGTGTGGATTCATGCAGAACATGCAGGGGTGAGTGAAATAGCTTGGGACTGCTTGGGACCGTTGTTCTGGTACTGAGTGAGCCAAAAATAATAATGATTTTCTTCGGGACCCAGTGGTCTTAGAGTTACCTCTATGGTAATAGTGAGTGAAATTATTCATCTCGAAAAAAAAAAGATTTTCGACTGGGGAACTCGAACCACGAACGTGGCGATTATCAGACCTGTGCTTTCTCCACTGCTCTTTTCATGCTTCGGAAAATGGATGCGTTAAAAGCAAACAAAAAGCGCATACTCGGCTTCGTTTGCTTTTTTTCTGCTAGAGAGAATCGAGGCAAGTGTGTGCGTCGTTCTACCAGGTTATGCATAAAAATCAAGGCAAATGCTTGCTTGAGTAAGTGAAAGCATAGACAGAGCATGAAATAAAAAATATTAAAAACCATTGAATCGTCTGCAAGGTCAACTTCTAACATTCGCTGCGATGTTCATGAACAGAGGATGATAGGAAACGGAGCTAACATTCATTGTAATAAATTTTTGGTTTGCGTGAATGGCCGAATTATAGCTCAAATTTGAATGATTGACTATTACAAACAGTTATGCCGAAGTTTCATGCAAATCGGGAGCCCCGGGGAAATAGCCCCCTCAAATTCGGGCCTGGTACCGAGTAAAAATTACATTTCCCTAAAGCAAGAGAAAGCATGAATCACATTTATAATTGCTAGAATGATCACCCAACCGGCGGATGTAAGATTCGCTTACAATTATGTGAGATTCATTATCAGGGGATGTAAGTGGAGACCGCATGAACCGAGGATGCGATATACCGTGCTGCGGTCCAATGCAAGAAAATGGAGAAAGAAAAATGTGGAGTGTATTGGCGTTGACGGCGACTCTGTAGCTCTTTACTCCTATGAGAAAATCCATAAGCAAACGTCAGACTGTGCGTGAAATATGGTGGACTTTGTACTATCCTTTCACTCCACCGAAAATTCCCATAAGAAACTGTCTAAATTTTCTGGAAGAGCAAATTTTTCGACGGTGCCGTCAACGCCAATTAGTGAGTGAAATTATTCATCTCGAAAAAAAAAAAGATTTTCGACTGGGGAACTCGAACCACGAACGTGGCGATTATCAGACCTGTGCTTTCTCTACTGCTCTTTTCATGCTTTGGAATATGTAAAATATAAAAATAAATTTCTACATTAAACGAAATTGACAAGCCTGTAGCTTTGACATCCCTTTGAATTTAAGTCATTTAAAATTGAAATTTATTTCCAACGTGACAACAACGCAACCCATAGTGATCAATTTCACCCGATGATCAAATTTCCCCAGGATTATGGTACATACGGATATTTGTAATCATTGAATTAGTGACCTTTCGAGTTCACATTATTTTAGACTTGACAAAAACATCATGATGAAAAATAACAGATTGAAATCGTTTGCTAAAATTGCACCTACTTAGCGTTTAGAATCATGAGAACTAATCAGCAGCGATCTTCATTCATTTTTGCTTTGTTAATTGCTCGCCTGGTTTAAAATATATCGGTGTGTTTGCTGTTGTTTGTGAATGTTTAATACAATCCTAACAATACTGTAAAAACATACTGGATAAATCTCGGATTTTTTTTTTATCTAAAAAAGAGAAATTCGATAGAGGGAATCTATTACCGCAGTGAAACCCTTAGGATTCTAAACGCTACGCATGTGCGTTACGCTATTAATTTCTAGTTCAATTCTCATTTAATTCTATTTTAACTACAAATGAGAATTTTGTACAATTGATTGAGAAAATAAAATGCTGATCATATCGTATGGAGTAATAATTCGGCAATATGTAAATGATACATGGTTCTCAGTTTTAGTATTAAAATTTCTAACATATGTGGAGGCCCCTAGACTGCCCCCATCCCCCATCTCCCACGTAAAACCAAACCTGCCCACTGCAATGCTCACCACCAAACATCCGCTCAGAGAGATAAATTTTCAGAGAAAAATAAACCAGCCTTCATAATTTTATGTAGGCATATTTTATGCTACACCAAACCGGGCACCGGTTTTGTGCAGCCGGCATATACCGTCCGAGTGCAGAAACATTGATGTTGTTGTGTTATTGTAGAATGAGTAAACAAAACAGAAAACCTGAATGATGACGACATGCACGGCTGATGATGTCATGCACTGCACAGAGAGCCGATGCCTAAATGTAAATTAACAACACGCAAGACGTGTATGAAGGAGATCTCAATTGACCATCTATGGAGTGTATATGAAGTTGCTGCGGGAAACAGGTTTTTGTGTGAGACACGATATAGGCATCGGATCAGATCAGACACTATCCAGTTAAGTGAACGAGAATGTCGTTCATTGATGTATGGTTCGGAGCATTCATTTGCGTGGTTGTCGTCGGTAATACTCACCCACAGGTGCAGATCTCACAGATGCATTGCTCCTTGGAAACTTTGTCGGTTTGCTGTTTGAATTTGTTAAGCTCATTTCTATCTTTGATGGTTACTTTGTCCTGGAATTTGAAATAGTGGAATTAGTCTCTCCGTGTCTTACTGCGTTAGCCGTGTGTACTCACAACTGTGTCAATAGACTGTAGGTTTTTTACCCTCTCTGATTCGTTCAACTCCGTGCGACCACTGCTTTCTTCAAGGTAACTGATTCTTTCTAGCACATCTGTGTGCTTTTTCTGGTCTACCGTTTTCCATTGCTTAGTTTTTCCATCGTAGACCTGTACATTTGAATAAACTTGTTAGAACCTACGATTAGAGATTAGAATCACACTTCTAGGACATACCTTTGTCAGTTGGATCGTCGTGGTAATGTTTGCCAAGTCGGGGCGTTCCACCTCCAGTTCGTGAACGATTTCCTCCGGAATGGAAACGGTAATGTCCTTTTCAAGAATGGTTTTCTGGTCCACCAGTTCCCAACGTTTCGATTTCGGATTAAACAGTTTCGCTTCGAAAGATGTTCTCGTGACATTCGTTACGTCATCCTCAATGCCCTGTATAATCACGTCCTTGGGAACAATTGTCTGATCGATCAGACTGAGGCGTTTATCCTTTTCGTCATAAGTTTTGCGTGTCAGGATTGAAGCGTTAGACTCACGCTGCTCGTAGAAATCGGTAACCTTCTTACGGGAGCTACTTCTCTCATCCATTTGCTCGAAATGGGAAGAATTTTCGTACGTTTTCATCGACTCGGTCTGTTGCTTCTGCTGCGATGACACGTCCTGTCCAGATTCGGTAATAAGATGTGTACTTTGAATCGTGTTCCCTAAGGAGTCATGCAGTGACGACAGACTAGTGATGGTATGTGCTGAAACGTCTTTAGTCAGCATGTTGGCGGCTTGTTGAGTGGCGTCTTGAATCTTGTAGTTCTCCAAAGAGGTAGAGTCGATTACAGTACCCTTCGTATTCCTGTCGCTTTGTGTGCTGGATGTCTTGATGGTACTTGAAGAAGTCTTCTGATCGGCTGAAGAAGACGTATATGCCGACGAGCTAGACACTACATGATTCGCATCATGAGCTGTCGAACTGCTTTGAATCATGTTTTCTCCAGAAGATCCAACATACGTATCTCCACTGGATTGGAATGTTGATGTGGTGAATCCTTGGGCGGAGTTTGACGAGGATTTTGTACTGGTTATTTTATTTCCGGCAGAGTCGTACGTTACCTCTGTTGTTGGAGCATTTTTCTCCGCCATAGAGTAGCTTTGACTGTCGGAATAGTGCTTTCCTCCATCACCATCGGTATGGAAGGTACTGGACTGCTGTCGAATGGAATGATTTCGTCCGTCTCGCAACTGACCTCCCGTTGTCAGTTTTGTGTCTTTTAGATTGGCATCAGACTTCAACATTTTTATATCGGAACTGTCCGAAAGGAATGTTGTAGAGCCGACCGTCGATTTCGAAGTAGACGATGATTGCATCTTTGATGATGATGACGATGATACAACGTTACTTGATTTTACAACATTGCTTGAATGTTTCTGAGCACTAGAAGAACTGTGATCACTTATCATGTTTGCACTACTCATCGACGACTGATGATTCTTTATGGCACTACTACTGTTTAGTGTGGAACTGACATTGCTGGTTTGCACCATTTTGCTACTGGACATGCTGTTTTGAACACTTGATGCACTCACGTTTTCACCGGTTTGGCTTATTGTGGATCCTTGAATGTCTGATATTGTCGCTTTTGCAACCTCATCAAAGTTGGTCAAGGCTTCGCGCAGTTCCTTGTCGCTTTTCGAACTATCACTGATTTTTTTAACGGATGAAATACGTTTTGTGGAGTCAACCGTATCACTGGCAATATACTTGATTTCTTGTATTATGTTTTCAATTTGCTTCGAACCAATCTTAGCAGCCTGGTTCGATTCACTAAACATTTGACCCGACTGCTGCGAGTCTTTCGCACTGGTGTCACTAGTAGACTTGGTTTCATTCATTTTTTGTGACTTGTCATGTGCACCACTGACCACTTGTTCAATCACACTTTTACTCGTTGAACTGGAGCTAGCTGCTTGCATTTTATTGCTACTACTACTACTACTGCTAGTAGTGTACATCGAGGAAGAACCTTGCTGTTGAACATCCGTAGTCACATTCGTACCAGCTATTCCAGCCACACTTTGTCCCGTTCCTCCAGCGACAGAACGAGACGATTTTTCCGAGTCAATCAGACTCTGACTTTTCAGCTTATCTCGTTCATCTCGCTTTTTTATCCCCATGATGACTACTTTCACACGCACAGCGGATACAATAAATGAATTTCCACTTGTTTTTTAGCTTCCTTCACTAGATTGATAAAAGCTCAACACTTTGAATCACATGCCATGAACTCGCATCTAGTAGGCACTTGCTAATATCTATTCAGAAAATTCTTCGTTTCCACTTTTACTGCCTTTTCACCCACAACTTCTCAGATCGCAATGAGGTAATCCGCTGCGCACACACACACAAAAAAACACCAGAAATGTATGTATCACTTTTTCCTTATATCTTCTTAGTAGGCTGCGCGAGCCGCCACGGTAAGTCCGGAGAGAGATCACTTGTTCACTGTTCCACGAGTTCGACGTAACTAAGCGGAGTTTTCGAAATTCATTCAATTAAATATCATCGCGAACGGTGACTGTCGCACGAAGGTCTTTTCAATCTACGGTCACAACCCGAGAGCACCGCGAGAGACTGCATCCATGAGTGGGAATATTCGACACCTACGTACGGGCTGCGTGTGCAGAGACAACCAACCGACTGATTAAGCTCTTTAAAACATAGAATAATTCGCTCAGCGCCAGCGCAATAAACCCGACTACTACTACCGGTGACACAAATCGTACTGAACACTGTGTCCACTTAAACCGTCACCGGTTTCACCCTGACGATGATCGAATGAACTATCTTTCGCTATACTAAACGCTCTCGCACTCTCCGAATTTCGTGAATCAAACTTACCTAGTTCATCGATTCTCTCCATCTGAGTTTATCTCAGATTCAAGTTAGTACACCCACAGATTCCGCGCGGTAACAAGTCATCCCGCACCAGGTTCGAACGAAAATCAAAACAAGTTTTTCACTCCGAAAATGGAAAAATTGATTCAAATTGAACTCGCTAAAACTCTCTTTGGAGCTTGAATGTCGACTACCATGGCAGTATGTAATTTATTGCACGTTGCTCAGCGCCGCCAGCTACCATAAATGCGCGGTTCTATAAATAGATGCTTGCGTAAACGAACCTTTCATCCTGTCGCTCGTGAGCTGGAGAGAGCTGACCTCCTATAGAAAGCCTCCGAACTTTGAAATTGATGTCCAAATTGAGCAGCATCGATTGCGGAAAAGAATAGAATAGAGTGAGTAAATTATACAAATTCGTTTTGAATCCAAGTAACAATGTTGGTTTTATCGTGTACAAGTAACATCATGGTTTTCAAAATCCTTATAAAAATCCAATTGCTACTTGGGTGTAGCCCTACAATTTGAGCTAAGTAGTCGCACTATATTTGACATGCCCCTGTAGAAGATAACTCCGCTTCCCTTCCCAAGTAAAAATTTTAGTTTTAAGAGGGTTCTGTAGACCATGATTTAGACTTGTAGCATGCTTTATAACTTCTATAAAAATTGCAATGTTACGAGGGATAGCAATGTGCCTCATTGAAGTCCCATTTATTGTAATTTCCGCGCATAATCGAATACAAAATAATTACCTCCATAAGAAATTATCCTAAGTAACAATTTGGGTTTTATAAGGGTTCTGTAGACCATGGTTTAGACTTGTAGAATGCTATAAAACCACGATAAAACTTGCAATGTTGCTTGGGATGTGCACTATGGGAAACTTCTCCATAAAAGAGGGTAGTCAAAAATATGTTCTTGGTTTTCTTGAATTGTTGGACTTCATTTTTATTAGTATGTGCCCAAATTGCTGGTAGATAACCTTTTCGTGATGCGTTCCTGTATAAGCTCTAACTACTTCAAACTAGGGAACATGATTTTCCAGTCATCAAAGGAACACATCTTAGTCCTTGTTATTTGTTATGCCTTGCTAATAGTAATCAGACTCAGACGGGTTCATTCGCCTCTTTGAAGAAAATTCGATTATATCTTATCATATAGCTTACATTTTTTCAGAAATTTTATAGCCTTAAATTCTTCGTTCCAATCGTTTCCTAATGTAATGCTTAGGTCATTATTGATTCCTATTTCTTCGTGAATAAGATCGTATTTTACACACTGCAATAAGATATGCTCGATTGTTAATTCGGTTTTACATACGTCGCAGTACTTTGAACCGTTTTTGTTGAATAAGTGCTCTTTAGTTAGTATAGTATGACCTAATCTTAGTCTAGTTAATACGCGTTGCTCTCGACGATCGTTTCTATCCATCCTCTTTTCAGTCGATGCGATTTTAACTGACGTGCGCATTTGGAGGGTGTTTTAACTCTTCGAAGGGTATAAATAACGGGATCTTTCAATTAGAATCGGTTCCTTGGAATAAAGGCAAGAATGACAATTATATCAAATCCGAATACTTCATCATTCGCAATAGTGATAGAGTAATAGAAACTAGGACACGGGATACTAAACTAAGGACACCACAATAGATCAAATTACTAGTTACAGTGAATTTATGTCTCGAGAAGACGGGAAAAAATGAGCTAGCTTTATATGATCCTGTAGATGTATAGGTTTTCCAAATTGATGTGGTGTTAATGTGTTGATGTTCTATAACCTCAATATGGTTTAATACGCACTTTTCCGACATATTTAATACATAATCAGAGCACTGTAAAGCCTTATGACAAAATGCACATCAAGGAATGCTATCCAAACAATTCTGAAGCTAAGATCTTGAAGTTCTACAGGCTCAAGTCTTGAACAATGTCCTGAAATTTCATATGAAACCGTGCAGCTCAAGTGAGCTTGATGACAACATACACATCATGCAATGGTATCAATTATATATTTAATGCTCTTTAAACTATCCTGGAGCTAATATCTTAAAGTTCTACAGGCTAAGTGATGTTTTGGAGAATGACTTGAAAATCATTATGAGTCCGCATAGTTCAAGAGAACCTCTTGATTACATTCACATCATGCCAATAAGATAATAAATCACTTCAAATTATGCTGGAACTAAGTTTTACTGGTTCATGGAATAAGATATTTTATGCTCACCAAACTATTCTGTGCGTTGCGTTGACGTGAATTTGACAGTTAGACAATAGATGTAGCTGTTAATTTGAAGCAATGTGTCCGGATCTTATGTGAGTGGCCTTCAAGATCTTGATGTTCTACAGGCTCAATAAAAACTTGAAAAATTCCCTGAAAATCTTTATGAGTCCGTGATTATCAAGAAATCAACATGACAACATGCACAACATGGAATGGTAACAAAAAGATATTTAACGCTCAACTATTCTGGAGATACGATTCTGAAGATCTACAGGTTCAATGAAGTATTGAAATAAAAACCTGAACAATGTCCTGAAAATCTTTATGTCCGCGAAGCTCAAGAGAGCCTCTAGACAACATGCACATCATCAAATGGTTTCAATAGGTTATTCAATGCATTCCAAACCATTCTGGGATTAATATGATGAAGTTTTAAACACTCGTAAAGTCATAAACAATGTACTAAACATTTGAACAAGTACATGATGCGCAAGAGAGGTTCAATAAGATATTTAATGCTTTCAAACCATTCTGAAGTTAAGACATTGAGTCTGTAGTCAATATCTTGTACAATGTCCTGAAAATCTTTATGAGTTTGTGACGCTCGAGAGAGCACAACATGCACCGTCACATCCGGAGCTCTTTAGCGCTTTCATTTTCGATATTTTGTTAAATTCCTTTTACTCCAGAGTATTCTGGGAAGAATTCCATGCCAAATCTGTATTGCATCCCAATGTGATTCTGACAGGATCTCAAAGATATTGTGAGTAGGACTTCATAAAGAATACTATATTGATAGTCAATTGAAATAATTATATTCATTAAAATGCTTTACAAAATATCATTAATAACCGATTTACTCCGTCCCATTTCCCAAAAAAAAATGATTTGAAGAATATCGACAACCTTGTTCAAAACAATCAATCAAACTAACCAATGTCAATTTGATTAAAAATTAATGCAGTATTAAATAGCTCTTCAAACAAGTCAAGTTATCAAATCAGTACAGGCAAGAATGAAAGTAACTTCTGAACGTTATCAACAACGCGAAAGTGTGCAATCTTATCAGTGTTTACTGTATTCGCTTTATTTCTGCACTGATAAATGCATACCTGCTGCTTTAAACTGGATTACTCGTGTACCTTTCAAGAAAAAATCATTTGAAATGTTTATCTAATACATTTGCGACAGCCGACAGGTATCAGAACACCAAATAATTTCCACATATTCCAAAAAATAAAATCATTACGAATGTAAAGTCAACGTTCGGATCTAGAGAATGCGATAAGTGAAGGAGCTATATTTATTCTAGCATACTGTAACACTGTTGGGGCCTCCCTTAGCTCAGTCGGTAAAGGCGCAGCTACAAAGCAAGACCATGCTGGAGGTGGCTGGGTTCAATTCCCGATCTGGTCTAGGAATTATTCGGGTTGGAAAATTTCTCGACTTCCCTGGGCATAGAAGTATGATTGGACTTTGCCACACAATTATACCAATGCAAAAATGGTACAGGCATCGAAAGCTCTCAATTAATAACTGTGGAAGTGCATCTAGAACACTAAGTTGAGAGCACGCAATAAGCTAAATATGCGATATGCAATAAGCTTGAAAAGAAGAAGAAGAAGAAGAAGAAGAAGAAGAAGTAACACTGTTGCAAAATACTCCGCTATTGCCTTCAAAAATAGACAACAAAACATGGCAAACTTGCAAGATAGGAGATTGATTTCGGTGCACCGAAATGTGTATGACCGACTAACTTTTTATTCAACGACCGCCACTTGATACCTTTTTAGATAACCTCACGTACTGACCAGTAGCCTGATAAGGAAATACTGGTAAGGGAACAAATTATGCCGCACCAACTTTTCAATACACACAACATGGCTAGGTAAATCTGAAAACTCTAAAACTCACTCTCATTGTAACAAAGTTCAACTAGTCTACTATCCGAGGGTCATGCAGAAACACGAAAACGAGCGAATGTTAATCGAACATCAATGAATGAACGACGATTGGCCATGTGAGAAAACTTCCAACTAAATGATCCGGCAAATGATCTCTGACACGCGAGGTTATCATCAATGGCGGCGTGGCGATGGCAAAAACGCATCAGCTGTTCGGTTGGTGGCTGAATCATCAGAATCTTTATATTTAAAAAATTCATCATAGAGTGCATTTCATTTGCCTTAATGCATTGCTCAGTGGTCCAGTAGGGCGAATTTCAGGAAATAAAATTAAAAGTCATAACAATTAATTTGATGTCTTCAGAGAAGTAAATTGAATGTTGGGTGTATGAAATCAAATTTAATGAAGCACCTTTCGGAATGAAAGATTCTAGGTCAAAAAAACAGTTCGAAATAAGAGCAGTTATTTATCCGTAATTTTTATAAAGTTATAACTAGATTGTACAATTGGCAATAGGTTAATAATTGTTTGAAATAACAGCAATCATTGCAGTATTTGGAAATTTTTTTATGGGGCGTGAGAGTTCATTAAAACATGCTGCAAGACCAAAAAAACATCAATATATAATACATTGTACCTATATAACAATTTAATCGGATATATTTAAAACAATCCCAAAAGGCCCACACAGAACGCCAGTATTAGTAATGTAAAAATTGTTAGCACATAATTAGCACAATTTCAATTTCAATA